GTGTCATGTTCCCGGCTTGTGCGTGGTCAATTGACGTCCCTAGGATCTCGTTTCTCGACTCCAGCCGAACAACCCCACTGTCAACAATGGCGTACTCCAAGTCGCACATTCCATTTTCAAGAGATGGAGACCCCTTTTCCGGTCGGATCAGCTGTACCTGGAAATCAACCATGTTCTCGAAAGATTCGGCAGCCCTTTCTTGGCTCTTTTCGAGGTGGGTTACTCAGAGCTCAAAATCATGGGCCATTCGTGTTGTCGAGGCCAATGGTTTTTCTGACAGCAAACTGACTTCCTTATAGGGTCTGGATGCCTACCTCGAGGAGAACAAATCCAACAAAGACAATCTTGTTCAGGGATTCACGCAACTCAATTTGATGATCAAATTGATGTATGACCTTTCTTGCCACGATCTTCCTCCGATGTTCGAAGAAAATATTTCAGGGATAGCCTCGCTCTTGCTCAAGTATCTGACCTACGATAACCAACTCCTGCACACCGATGACGATACCGAGGCAGGACAGCTGGAATTTGCGCGTGCTGGAATTTTCCAGGTCTTGACTCTGTACGTGCAAAAGTACATGGATGAGTTCAAGCCTCATATTGGACAATTTGTCGAAAGCTCATGGAGCTTCTTGACACTTATTGGTCAGGAAACCAAGTACGACATTTTGGTCAGCAGGGCTCTACAATTCTTGACTTCGATTGCGGGCATGACCGAACATGCGGCTGTATTCCAGGCCGAAGGCACCCTCGGCCAAATCATCGAGAAGGTCATTCTCCCCAATGTCAGTTTGCGTGAATCTGACGAGGAGCTTTTCGAGGATGAGCCGATTGAGTTCATTCGTCGCGACCTGGAAGGCTCAGACAGCGATACTAGACGGCGTGCTGCAACCGACTTCCTGAGACGGCTTGCCGAGAGATTTGAGGAATCCGTTACGAGCGTTGTTCTCAGATACACTGAGCACTACCTTTCTGAATACGCCAAGGCTCCCGCCACTAACTGGAAGGCCAAGGACACTGCAACCTATCTTTTCTCTGCCATTGCAGCGAAGGGAACTGCTACGTCAAGCCACGGTGTGACTGCTACGAACAAACTCATTAGCATTACCGATTTCTTCCAGAAGCACCTTGCGGCTGATTTGATTAACGATGAGGGTGTACATCCCATTCTGAAGGTCGACGCCATCAAGTACCTCTACCTCTTCCGCAGCATTATCACCAAGGAGCAGTGGCAGGAAGTTCTCCCTATGTTGGTCAAGCACCTCGGCTCCTCGGAATATGTCGTTTACAGTTATGCGGCGATCGCCGTGGAGCGTGTCCTCTACCTTACCGACAGCCAAGGCCAACCGATCATCTCCCCCGCTACTATTACACCGCTGTCTAAGGACTTGTTGGAACACATCTTCTCGCTGATCCAAAAGGACCAGGCCCCTCAGAAGGTGCAGGAGAACGAGTTCCTGATGAGATGTGCGATGAGAGTCCTGATCGTCATCAAGGAGGGCATTGTGCCGCACACCGACAGTGTCCTTCAGCACCTGATCACTATCACAAAAATCATCAGCAGCAACCCAAGCAACCCTAGGTTCTACTATTTCCACTTTGAAGCCCTTGGAGCTTTTATCCGGTACGTGAGCTTCGGCAGTCGCTCGAACATAGTCACTAACCGATGAATTCAGATTTGCGGCCCCTGCCAACCCCGACAAACTCGAACAAGCCCTTTACGCTCCTTTCGCAGAGATCCTCCAAGGGGATGTGCAAGGTCAGTTGCAAACCATAAGGAACAGCACTATGGGCTGTGGCTAACGTATGATTAGAGTTCATGCCTTATATCTTCCAACTCTTTGCTGCACTTCTCGAGGCAAACCCCTCGGGAACACTCCCTGACTACTACCAGAACCTGATTGCCCCGATCCTGATGCCTGTCATGTGGGAGTCGAAGGGCAACATCCCTGCACTTGTGCGACTTTTGTCGAGCATCATCCACCGCGGATCTCAATACATCATTCAGAATGAGCAAATTGCTCCTGTTCTGGGTATCTTCCAGAAGTTGCTATCGACCAAGACCAATGAAGGTTATGGATTCGACCTGTTGGAGTCCGTGGTTGCAAACTTCCCTCCGTACGCGAAGCCCCAGTATGATCATTGATACGATCATTTGCTAACTATACTCCAGGGCAACACTGGAACAATACTTTGTTTCCATCATGCAGATTATCCTTACCCGCCTCCAGAATTCCAAGACGGAGAACCTGACCCTCCGATTCGTCCGTTTCTATCATTTTGTCTCTGCCCAGGATGACAAAGGCTACAGTGCTGACTTCGTCATCCAAGTGATCGACAAGGTCCAGCCCGAGTATGTACAATCCAATTCCACCGTGGGATCTAGCATGCTAACTGCCTCCAGGCTGTTCACTCCCATCTATCTGAACATCATCCTTCCTGAGACACAAAAGCTCGCTCGTCCGTTGGATCGCAAGACCGCAGTGCTATCGTTCACTAAAACTCTTGCTAATTCGGAAGCCTTTGCTAACCGGTACAAGAAGGGATGGGGCTTCACATGCGAGGCTCTTCTCAAGCTTCTGGAGCTGCCTCCTCTCCCTGCCAGCAAGGATGACATCATCGCCGAGCATGACGTGGAGGATATGGCATTCGGTGTTGGTTTCACAGCTTTGAACACTGTGCGACCACAGACCAGAGACCCTTGGCCCGACACGGGCGCCGACCTGAAGGCTTGGACTGGCAAGTATCTAAAGGAAGCAGACAAGAAGCACAATGGGCGTATTTCTGGCTTTGTTCAGGAGCGTCTTGGAGCCGAGGCGAAGACAGTGCTACTTAGTTATATCGCATGAGCAGGCTAATGGAGCAATTTGCACCATTTACTGGGATGTATAAAAAAATCCTATGTCTGATAACTCGACCGTCTCTGCATTATGCCAAAAAGAAATCATGGAGAAAGTGTTGGCTAGCTTCAACCACTCCATTGCATGTCCTTATGAATTAAATTATATTTAGATGACACTGATATGCCTTGACTTCCTCGTAGTTGTGTTGCGAAGTGACTAGTGGTTGACGTTGTCTAAATTAAACTACGCTGGGAGAGCGACAGCGTGCCTTGATCCCGTGTGGGAACGCTAGAATAGCGACGCACGCGATGCAGAGGATCACATTACCTCTGGCCTCGCTCGATGTCTGGGAGATGCTTCTGCTGTAGAATCTGTTGTTGAGCGGACAGCTGATGAGGACTTTGTATGTCTGCTCCCTCCAATTTTGATTCATGCTTTGAATCAGCCGACTCTGGTGCATCGTTCTCTTCTTCTGCTTCTTCTATCTCTTGACTCTCCTTGCCATCTTCGAGCTCACGATACTTGCGCCGGCTCTTCTTCATTTTACTGGCCTTCTTCTTCCTGGCGCGGTCGGCCTTGATGGCTGCACGACTTTGATCCCCATTCAAGAGCTCTTCAACCTTGTCAGCAAGCAGCTGGCGGGCAATCTTTTCATTCTGGGATCGGGATCTTGTGGCTTGAGACTTGACCACTACACCCGTGGGTTTGTGTATGATCTGGACGGCAGAGTTGGTTTTGTTCTAGGCATTGGAAAAGAAGAAAGTAAGTATCAGATACAACTAACCAGCGGAGTGAGAATTGAGGTGGGGGGGAGGGGATGGGAAATATCTGGTTGGCATACAATCTTTTGGCCTCCAGGGCCAGTGCCCTTAAGGTATGAGATGGTCACGTCGGCATCTTGAATCTTCAGGCGGGGAGGTAAGGCTTTGTTGGCGAGGGAGAGCGCAGAGAGAGTGAAGAATCTTGGGAGGGTGGGGAGGTAATTGGATATGAGAAAGGGGCGTGTGATGTAGGGGGTCAAGTGGAGGGGACGGAACATGGTGATCTGAGGCGCCTATTACTAGGTTCCATCTGGAGTACTTTATTGCTTGATTAGTATTACATGAAGCTGCATGGTGTAATTGGCGGCGACGTACGGAGTGATGCTGCTGCTGCTGCTGCTAAGTACTACTAGTACTACTAGTATGTATTGCCGGGAGGAAATCATCACTGGATCTGGACCCGTTTTACAATACCATACCATAATTTACCATTCACTGGTCGGTGACTAAGACAGTTAGTCTCGCACCACACCAGATGATAACTCTTCTCTAGTTGGTTTTTTCGATTGCCCTACCTACTACTATCTACTCCGTACTCCAACTGCGGTTCCCCTCTTCTTCCATCGGAACTGATTCTCTGGTTTCCAAACAATATGGAGGATTGGATAGGATTTGTCTCACCTCTTTCTCACCCTGAATCTACAAAGTAATTGATAGGCCTGGGGAAAATTGGCCAAGCGGAGAGGGTGACGTACGCCGCCCAGTGGATGCGCGGACAGACAGCCATCGCCGCACGCCAATCAGTGTCAGATCGCGCGGGAAAATCCTCCCTACGAAAAGCAAAGACAGGCAGGGTAGGCATTTGTTTCCAGTGAACTGGATGAGAGTCTTGAAACTTTGCACCCTGCAATCCTTCGGCTGGACCCTGAGGGGAGAGGGAAGTGGACCTTTTGGTTTGCTTCTCTCCCGTGGCGGTGGATTGATTGATTTTGACTTAAGTCTCGGCGGCCGATTTGAAACAGTGTCCAGATCGCAAGCATGGACTTGACGGGGGCGCCGGTATAACTCTCTAGTTATCTGAATTCGTATTCGTTCTTCATGACTTTTAAATTTATATGACTATCTGTTCCGTCCGGCTGTGAAGCTATTCTTAGTTGAGGTGGCCATCCTGCCTAATTCGTTTCCCCATTCCTGTTCCCCTGGACTTAATCTGAGCTTCTTTTACATTGAGGGGGCTAATTTACTCTTCTACTTTTCTCTCAACCATCACAGCCTCCTGCCAAATTTCTCGCTCTTACTTTCTGTCCCATTCACCGACTGGAATTGATCAGCTCTTTGTCGATCAACCCACACCTTTATAGTATTCTTTCTTTTTTTCTTTTTTTTTTATATTCTATTACTTATTTTCTTTTTCCCCCTCTGTGACCTGCCGACTCAGCATTTTATCTTTTCCTCCATCAGCAAACCGACTGGACAGATCATGGATGCCTAGTTGAACTTCAACAAAATTATCTCCGTCTTCCTACTACTCTTCCTCCTCCCTTCCCCAGCGCGCCGGGACAAATTGCTCCAACCTCAGTGGGCGACTGCGATAATACTCCCAAAGACTTTCCGGGGCAGGAGCTGATTCCACCCCTCACCACCCTCGTATTCCGCGCTTTCCTCCGCTTCTTCACTTTCTTTGACCTTCTCCTGGCTCGCCGCCGGTCCCCCTTTCGTTCAATCCTTTCACAACCCGCCACCCTCCCACCATGACTCTGTTCTGGATTCTGAACTCCTTTATGCGCTGGGTGCGCTTGAAGATATATCAATATGAGGTGACCTTCGCCGTGTACATGCTTACGCCTACCGAAAAGTTCATTTTTAGTATGTTCATCTGGTTGACATTGGGTTCCCCCCTCCCGAGTTTCGAGATTGTATTTTTCTTGCATTAAAGCCGCATGGTACTAACGGGGAACGTTCTAGATTCCCTTCTCCTCACTCTCCTCTCAATGATTGTAACCGGCATCTATGTCTACCTTCCCGACCACATCCGATCCATTTATAGCCACCTTTACTACTACTGGGCCGGCGAGCGTCCGTTTATCTCTGCGAGCCTTCCATCGATCAGCTCCGTATTCCGGGAGACCGGTACCCAGACTTTGGAAGTAATGTACGAGACGGCCAAGAACGCTGCTGCGACGGCCACTGCTCCAATTGCCGAACTGTGATATCTCCCCGCCACAGTAGCCATACGGGTTGGATTCTCGGTGTTGGTGACGATTGTGGGCTGCTGGATTGGGTCATCTGGCTTCTCTGTTTCTCCTTATGATACCATCGGGACTTTTCTTGCATTTCGCTATTCATATCAGCATACTGGCTGCCACTAATTATCCTCTATTACCGCATGCCTCTCTTGTCCTCGAGCATGGATTGCATCAGCATTTCACGATTCACCGCACTGCTCCTCCACCGAACGGTTCCTATCGGCGTTGTGAAGTTGTTTCATGGAGTTCGAGCGATACTGTTCTGAGCGGGCCGGCGCATCCTAGGAGTTCCATCATCTTCATTTTGTTTCCTCCCCTGGTTCATACTCTGCCTCACGCATATTGTTTATACCTTATCGAGGCAAATCATTGTTACGATCACATACTTTTGTTGCTCGTGTTACTTTGCGCGACTTGACGCTGGAGATCCACTGACTGCACATTTTCTAACATATAAATTTTTTAATTCTGTACGGAGCACGACAGTAACGCCGGAGGTAGCACCGAATGCTTTGAAATGCCACGATTTCTTGCACCAATATGCTCAGCCGAGCAGAAACTTTTTGCTTTGACATTGCGCCAGATAAAAGTACATATAAGTTGAAGTAAAATAATATAAACACAAATATACCCAATCCAATCATCAAGCCCATCAACCAAATGCAACTCCCGCCATGCTCAGAGAAGAGTGTTATACAAAACCAGAAAAAGAGCCCCCAATCGTAGGTACGCGAGTAGGACACTGTGCAACATAGCCCCTATTTTCACCTTCGTCGCACATACACACACACACAGAAAATGTGCGGCATGCATATAAAAGTATACATATATGCCGGTTCCGAACAGATCCGCCAGCGTATCCCCCCCCCGCTCAGACAGATACTTATCCCACCCCAAATCCATAATCCGTGTAAACAATCACCGATAACCCCTTATATATCAAGCACACCCGCACCGCACCGCACCAATCATTGAATCCTCGTAGTCCATTTTACTCCGCATTCGCAGATGCCGCCTGAGCCTGAGCCTGAGCCTGAGCCTCAGCCTCCAACGCCGCGCGCTGCTGTCGCTTCTCCCGCTTGACCGCATCCAACATGCGCATGCGCGACAATTCGCGATCAATCTCTTCTTTCTCGAGGGGGATCTTGTGCGATTGCTCGGTGGTAGGCCAGAAGCCGGGGACGCTGAAGCGGTCGTCGAGGTTCGTGCCGAAGTAATACATCCATCCGATGGGGAAGATGATGTACATGCCGAACTAGATGGGATTAGACTCTGCTGCTCTTCCACTGGGCATGGAATGAGAAAAATTGGTGCTTTGCATACCTTGAACACCTCGAGGTTGCCTCCCTGGAGTCTGCGGAGGATGGAGGACATGGTGGGCTGTTGCTGTTGCTGTTGGTGGGATGGATGGACGGGTGGTGAGTGAGTGTGTGTATCTTTTAAATTTTTGATTCTCCTTGGTGTGGTGGTATATGAAAGAAAAAAAGAGTACTATGCTAATGTCGAGGTATAGAGTTGCGATAACTTTCCTGATCCGTCCACCAACGAAACAAATTAATCTGGGACTGATCGTTCCGATACTAAGTACGGACGGATTATTATCACGGAGCTTCTGACTATGCTATGCCGACCATGATTATTTGCAAACAGAGCAAATATTTCCCACGTGCCGCGCAAGTCAGGTGATGTGAATTACTCATCAGGACTTCGACTCGACTCGACTTGCGGCCTGCCGTGGGCCGAGGCTCCTAAGCCTCGGTCCGTGGGTTTCCCCGCATAGGCGTTGGATGGCAGATCCCCGTTAGTAGAATCCACCTTGTTGGTTATTTCTGTTGTAAGGGACTAATAAGACTAGAGGGTTTCCTGGAATTGCTTTTTTTTTATCTAGAACTGTCACTCTCTGATATTTCCTTTTTCAAGGCGCACCTGACCTTGCAAGTGTGCATTTAGGGAAGGTTACACTTCGTCTCCTTCTTTTTCTTTGAAGCGGTTTTCAAACCCTCCGAGTCTCCGATAGTTACTATCCAACAAGTTCTATACCTAGCGTAACCCCTATCTGCTACTATCTACACACATCTTCTCTGTGACAGCACAGCACACAAACCACCCCGATATCCAATATGGCTACTACTACCGAAGACCCTATCAAACTCACATACCAAGGCCGTCTGGCAATAATTACCCTCAACCGGCCCAAGAAACTCAATGCCCTAGACGGAGACCTCTACTACCTCCTCGGCGAACGTCTCCGCGAAGTAGACAAGCGCGATGACATCTACATCACCATTCTTACAGGTTCAGGTCGTTACTTCTCCGCGTGAGCCTGCCCCTCCCTTCTTCCCCCTCCCCCCAACACATACCAATACATAACTAATGCCTCCATCTCCAGCGGCGCAGACGTAAACTCCTCCCGCCCCGGCGGGGGGCTCAGCACCTCCGCACGACGAGACCTCGCCCGATCCTTCGTAATAAACAACTACGACATCACACACACGTTCGCGCACCACTCGAAGATCCTCATCGCGGCACTGAACGGCCCCGCCGTCGGACTCTCCGCGGCCCTCATCGCCCTTGCGGACTTCATCTACGCCGCGCCGCACACCTTCCTCCTCACGCCGTTCGCCTCGCTGGGTCTTGTCGCGGAGGGCGGGTCATCGCGGGCGTTCGTGGAAAGGTTGGGCATCGCGAAGGCCAACGAGGCGCTTATTATGAGTAAGCGGATTACGTGTGAGGAGTTGGTGGCCACGGGGTTCGTGAATAAGGTGTTTACGGCGCCGAGTGGGAAGAGTGATGATAGTGAGGGGTTCCTGGGGTTGGTGTTGCAGGAGGTCGAGGAGAGGTTGGGCTTGCATTTGAATCAGGAGAGTTTGCTGAAGATCAAGGAGTTGATTAGACGGCCCGAGAGGGAGGTGTTGGATCGTCAGAATGGGTTGGAGGTTTTTGGGGGGCTTGAGAGGTTTCTTAGTGGTGTGCCGCAGGAGGAGTTTAGGAGGTTGGCGAGTGGGGAGAAGAAGCATAAGTTGTGAGTGAGTGAGTGACTTAAGTGAGGGGGTATATAGCAGTGATAAGTAGTATATAGGGGTTAGATGTTAGAGAAGTGAAGGTTAATGCATCACTTTTAGTATTCGGTTTTTGTGGTCCCGCTAGTCCTAACGCCGCCTTATTATGCTGAGCGGAGCTGCGCTCATTGGTGTGTTCGTAACTAAGTATACATTCGATGTATGGTTGGGTCCTCTATTGAGCTTCATTGTCCGAGTCGGACTCCTGCGCCTGCTTCGCCAAAATGTCCTGCCACTTTCCTAGGAACTCGCTCATGCCTCCAGGACCGGAGATAGAAGCATCGACCACCTCCTTCGGCAGCTTGTGAGCTGAGTACTGCGGGGTCGTGAACGCATACGCCTCCGGGTCATCGCGCTTGATGAGCCGGAACTCCGGGAACAATGGCGCATCATCTGTGTTCTCGTCTTCGGATGCGGACTCGGATTCAGACTCGGACTCGGACCCTTCATCTGGTCCGTTAACTGCTTCCAGACCACCGTTTGCATTCAGAGAAAGCCGCACGAATTGCTCTTCCCCGTTGTGGTCTTCCTCCCGGATACCCACGGGATCCTTCATGTGCAGAATCTCCATCCAACTAAACAGCAGCGAATCGGTCCTCTCCGCCCATGGGTTGATATCGATAAGCCACACCCTATCATGCGGCGGCGGGATATAGACATCAAAAACAAAGTTGGGATCCGTGAACGTATCCTTTAGCTTTTCGTCGAAGAACGTCTGGATCCGAGACCGGAGAGAGTCCCGCATGGGGAAGAGGAAGTCGAAGTGGTTCTGATCACGTTGGCACATGCACAGGAGGACTCTGTTGCGCACGAAGCACCGGAACTCGAGCGATGGGTTGAAGTTGACGTATTTGCGGAGAACGAGGTAGTAGGGAATTTCGGGGGGCGTTGAGGAGGAAGAGTCGTCGGTAGTGGTAGTGTCAGGAACGCAGTCGTCGAATGGGTGTTCCAAGTCATGGCTGATGAAGTCACTGCTCTTCAGGAGGAGGTAGATGTCGTTGGCTGTGCGACATTGCGTGTCGTTGGTGGCGGACATCCACGTCGCATCTTTGGGCGCACTCCAGTTCAGCTTCGGTGTCACTTTGCCGCCGTATTCGGTAATTGTAGATTTGATTTGGGCGTGGATCTCGGGCCATTCGAGTGACGGATCAGGCTCTTCGTCTGCGCCATCATCGGAGAATGTGTCAAGGTTGTCGTCGTCTGTCGGCGGGGCAGCTTCTGGTGGCAGAACGATACCGTCCGCTCGGAGGTAGTTAACGAAGGGGGCAGTGAGACGGATAGCACGGGACTTGGGGACAAGTGTGCGGTATCTGCGAGGGCGTTGTCTGATTAGAATCTTCGTTCATGTATAGAGGGGTTATATTGGGGACATACCGAGGCTGCCAGTGATGATAAGAGCAATGTAGAATGTGAGAATAAGTGACTGGAGGGAAAGGCAGTCTTGTTAATGGCTCGGTGGGAGCTTCGGCCGCCGGAACTGGCGCCTCTGGGTCAATATGAGGCATATTGGTTGTATGCGCCACAAGTTCGGAAGATTGTGATGGTGAAGATGGAGATAAAAGTTATCTCGTCGATCGCAAAGTCCGCGGGGTCTTTTTCTTTTTTGGGGATGACTCAAGTCACTTACCCGAAATAGTATGGTTGATACAGCCATGACCGTACCGTATTGAAGCCACGTGCTGCCTCAGGCACAATGGATCGTCATCCAGTGATTACGGGTTGCGTAGCATCATTCCAGGTAGTGCTCCGGCTGGCATTGATACCCTGCATTGTTGGCTTGTCCCGCCAGCGTCCTTTCCCTTCACCATGGCGTCCGATGGTCCGGATCCGCAGTCATTGAAATCCTGGCAAGATGCATTTCACTACCCAATTCCTACTGTGCGCCGCGTGGAGCAGGAGCTGCGCCGGGACATCGCAAGCAATAAGGAGAAGCTCAGGGCTCTTGTCGGGTATGTGAAGGCCGACACCCAAATTTACTATAGGAAGGACTAATGAAATTTGGCGCATCTAGTACGAGATACCGAGAACTCATTGGCACTGCCGAGACGATCGTGTCGATGAATCGCGAAATGGAGGATGTGGATTCGACGCTGGCCGACATAGGACGAAGATGCAATCCACGCCTGATGGAGAAGATGTACACACATTACAACCAGATAAAGGAGGATAGCCATGATGAAGGTATGGTATAGTTGTGATTTTGGCTTGGTTCTACAACCAACAGCTGATGGGAATTAGATGCCGCGAAACGAGCGCTCGGAGGGCAACTGGCTTTACTTCATCGCTGCGCATCGTCAATCTTTAAGCTTCTGCGTCGACGCGGCTCCGTCTTGCTTGTGGCCAAGCTAATGGTCATCTCTCGTCTTTTACACAAGACTCTCTCCCAGCAGGCGACGGTGCCGCCATTTGTGGAGGACCTACGCAATCAATTAGCATCCCTTCAAAGAAGTCTCTTGAGGAGGCTTGGAAAGCGGCTCGCGTCTGCTAAA